ATGTGTGTATATGTGTATAACTTAAGTATAAGTATACATATGTGTGTGTGTGTATGCATATATCTACCCCTCATTTATCTATCTCCTTTTACTTTTTCTTTAGTTGAGTCATCTTTAAAACGAGAAGAATAGTATGCAGTGTGCTGACAGTAGTGTTCAATTGCTTAATTAATGCCTGTAAATTGTTTTGGGATCCTTTGATGAAAGCACTAAGTAACTGTAAAAGTTTATAATAATATTATTCTTATTTTATTCAGAGGGACTCAGCAGGATTCAAATACTGCTTGAGCATAAAGGGATTACTTTACCATTATTTAGATACTATAATTCCCATGGAGGCTCACTAACTGTATTTACATAATATGGAACTAGTTCTCAATAAATTGTTCTCTATAAACTATCAAAAGAAAGATAAATGATACAGGGCCTTTGGATCTAAAGAACAAAATACACAGTCAGCAAGGAGGTGGTTGCACAAGTCTGAAATAAATGAAGCCATTTTGTAATGGCTTTAGTAAAAAATTATATGAAGGGGCTCCTATAAAGAAAAAAAGGCTCTATTTTCTGGGTATGCATTCTAGGTATACATATTTCTGTGAGATGTAATTAGTCCTAGTTACTGAAAATGTCATGTTCTCCATTGACAGATACTGTAGTTTTCCTGGGGCTAATTTGGGAATATTTGAGATAAAAATAAGTGGTACTATTCAAATGGAACATTTTATCCTTTTATGCTTACATATTCCTGTGGGTATTTCTTAGGAACAAGGATATTCTATTACATAACCACAGGATAATGATCAAAATTGGAAAATTTACATTAATATTTTCTAATTTACAGGTCTTAATCATATTTTTGCCAATTATTTTAGTAATGCCCTTTATGGCAAATTGTAATTTAAAAATTGTGGTTAAAGATCTAATTGGGGACTAAATGTTGCATTTAGCTGCTTATCTCTTTAATCTTATAAAAGCTGAAATAATTTCTCAGTCTGTTTTTCATGACATTTACATTTTAAAGAGTATAGACCAGTTATTTTTTTTCTTTATTTTTGTTGTTGCTGCTATTACATATGTCCCCTCCCCCCCACATTCCCCTCCCTACTCAGTTCTGTCCCCCTTCCCCTCTGGCCATCTCTGCACTGTTGTTTGTGTCCATGGGTTATGCATATATGTTTTTTTTTAAAAAAAATATATTTTTATTGATTTCAGAGAGGAAGGGAGAGGGAGAGAGATATATAGAAATATCCTATATAATAAAAAGCGTAATATGCAAATAGACCAAATGGCCAAATGACAGGTTGCTATGATACACATTGACCACCAGGGTGTAGACCAGGGGTGGGCAAACTTTTTGACTCGAGGGCCACAATGGGTTCTTAAACTGGACCGGAGGGCCGGAACAAAAGCATGGATGGAGTGTTTGTGTGAACTAATATAAATTCAAAGTAAACATCATTACATAAAAGGGTACGGTCTTTTTTTTTTTTTTTTTTTAGTTTTATTCATTTCAAATGGGCCGGATCCGGCCCTCAGGCCGTAGTTTGCCCACGGCTGGTGTAGACGCTCAATGCAGGAGCTGCCCCCTGATGGTCAGTGCGCTCCCACAGGGGGAGCACCACTCAGCCAAAAACCCAGCTGATGGCTGGCAAGCACAGCAGTGGTGGCAGGAGCCTCTCCCACCCCCTTGGCAGTCGGACATCCCCCAAGGGCTCCCGGACTGTGAAAGGGCGCAGGCTGGGCTGTGGGAGCCCCCTCCCGAGTGCACAGATGTCATGCACCAGGTCTCTAATTAATGATAAGAGAGAATCATTGATCAGCTGCCTCCTGCATGCCCCACACTGGTTATCAAGCCCACAACCCGGGCATGTGCCCCGACGGGAATGGAACCTCCACCTCCTGATTCATAGGTCAAAGCTCAACCACTAAGCCAAGCTGGCCAGGGGCATATATGTTCTTTAGGTAATCCCTTCACCTCCCTTCATCCAATCCCTGCCTCCCCTCCCCTTATAGGCCAGTTATTTTGTATAATATCCCTCACTTTTTGTTTGTCTGATGTTTCTTCATGATTAGATTGAGGGCAAGCAGGGTAATGTAGAAGTGATCTGATCTAAGTATATCATATCAAGAGTCAGTACAGAACATTTTTAAAGAGCAGTGTTTAGTCCTAACTGGTTTGGCTCAGTGGATAGAGTGTCAACCTGTGGACTGGAGGGTCCCAGGTTCGATTCCAGTCAAGGGCATGTACTTTGGTTGCGGGCACAGCCCCAGTAGGGGGTGTGCAGGAGGCAGCTGATTGATGTTTCTCTCTCATTGATGTTTCTAACTCTCTATCCCTCTCCCCTTCCTCTCTGTAAAAAAAAAAAAAAAAAATCAATAAAATATATTTTTTAAAAAAAGAGCAGTGTTTAGTGGTACATGAATAGAACAAGCCTAGGCTGAGGACAAAGCCTTCAGTGGGCTGGTAGCAGATGCTATGGGGCACCACCCAAGTCCACAGCTGCTGGGAGCACTGGATTCTGACAACCCACAGCTGAGTCCCTCTCCAGTTATTCCCTCAGCCTAATGAGCTGTCTCTCCCCCTTCAGCAGTTTGTTGAAGTTGGGGTGCAAAGGCCTGGTTTCTTGCCTCAATTGAGACAACTCTGAAGGGTCATCCCAACTCCAGAGCTCCCTGCGGGATAGGCTGAGGCCTCTGTTACACCTGCATTTGAGTTCAACGTCTTCCTCCGCCTAATCCTGCTGCCTTCTCTCCCTCACCTGAGTTGTTCCAGAGATCACTCCACAATAAATCTCCTGCTTATTAATCTGAGACTTCGAAATCTTTTCCCCAGGAAATCAGACCTACAACTGGGCCATTTTACGTATGTGAGTGAGTCTTTTAATAATTATTTCAAGTATTGTAATAGGTCAACTTAAAACATATTGACATTATTAAAGTAGATGCAAATTAATCCTCTTACACGAATTTTATTCCAGCACAATTTGACCATGAGAACTGTGTAGACAGAGACCAACAATACAAAGATGTCAATAAGAGACTGTCTAGATTGCTTAGGATAGTCAGAGCTTGATCTTAGCTTTGCATGTCCAGAAATTTAACTTTGTCAGGGGTGATCAGACTCAGAGAAACTGATACAGAGTAAGGGTGATCTAACTCAGAAAGGAAGATGTAGACATTAAAGTGAGGAATGTAATTGTCAAACAAAACAAAAATGTTTATTGACTAAATGGCATGCTCTTATTCCATAAGAAAATCTACATGGGAAGCCAAATCAGAAATTTACTTGGTGCATAAGATAATTTATACAATTTTAATTTCTCTGATTTATCATGATCTGACCATCTTTGCAATATTTAGCCCTACTGAGACATACCTACAAGTAGATCCGATATTCATTTCTGCTTACCAAGGTACTCTAGCCCTAGACAGTTTACAGTATACAAGTTAATACTTAAAAATACAACACAGCCTCCTAATGGTCCACTGATATCTATTCTGATTCCCACACACCAGTTCTCCACATTAGAGGTAGATTATTTTTTGAATGCAAATTTGATGTCACTCCTCTGCCTAAAACCCTTCAATAGCTTCTTATTGCCAGTAAGTGAACATAAATCTCCTTAACCTTGTCCACAAGGCCACATGTGGGCTAATCAGAAAAAAAAATCAATTCTTTGAAAGCCCTATGTGGGTTACTTCCTCCAGGAAAGCGAGTCAGCATAAAATGCATTAGGCCAACCCTGTAAAAACAGCAACCTGACTCACAGGGAGGTTGGAAAGTGTAGCAGATGAGAGGCAGATCCAGTCATTTCATCCCCACAGTCCCTATCTCTAGATTTATAAAACAATCCAGCAAAAAGAAAATTGTCTTGCTTGTCCCGGAGGCTCCTTAAATTCTCTATGTTCAAATAAGCCACAGGTTTTTGTGACTTACTTCCCTAGAGTCTTGCCCCAAAGCTCAAAGGCAGAAGAGGAACTTAGATTGTGTGCCTATGAAGCAGCTGCCACTTTACAGACCTTCTCCAACTTAGTTTTTACAACTCTATCAGATGCAGGGAGGGGGTCCTCCTTATCCGGTATTCATTCCCTGAGTCCCCATTGTTATAAGATTATTCAAGGATGCAAAAGTCATCAAAGCATGAATATGATTACTAGCCAATTCATCTATTACAAAATGAGTCCCTATACAAACTTCCTTTCTGCTTAACACTAGGGTTTATCTGTAATATCATGCCAAGGTCGCAGTCTCTATTTGGCAAGATTAAAAACACAAAGTCTCGTGTAAACGAGCATGTAGGGAAACGGGAATTTTCTTGTATGGCTTGCTTGTAACTGTGGAGATGAGTGAATTTCTGGATGGCAGTTTGGCAATAGGTTTGGAAATGTAAACTATGCATTCCCTTTGACCCACTTCTAGGAATTTGCCCTAAAGTTGACATTGTCTAGTAGGAAGCAATAACTGAGAAGGAAGTTCAATTGTTTTAACTATGTTAACATCGTGGAAACTTGTAAACAATGGTTTAACATAGAAAAATATAAACATTAAAATATTTTAAAGGAAACATTTTTTTCAAGAGCAACACTCTATATGATTGTGATGTGATGTCATATGTAAGCGGAGGGATGCCAATCCATATCATCTAAATGTGTCAGAAAAATTAGTCTAAAAAAAACAACTCTAATGTGATTAAGCCTTTGCCCATTCTAAGTACTGCATGGCAGCAATTGTAACCTAAATATATTTTCAGTTTTTAAAAATTTTGGTAAAATACAGGTATCATTTTTTTTCTACACTCAATATAAAATACTGACCCTCCTTCAGATATTTCATTTTTTTCTGGTAACAATTATCCTCTGATAATGAGGACTTGCTGAAATTTCCCCATGTGGATGAGTAAATTGAGGTTTAGAGAGTTTAAGAAATGTGGCCAAGACCACAAGATAAAGGATTCAGTCCTTAGTCCAAATGCAGATCTGCTATTTCCCCTACATCTTACCTTCCCTTTAAGGAGCACAGTAAGACCATCTAATAGTACGTAGGGCTGCTTTGTAGGTATGAGTTAGAGACATTCTTCCCCTGGCCTATTCCTCCAGTCCCAGGAATTTCAACACTGAAAAATAAAATGAAAATAAAGAAAGTACATAATTGAAGGAGTAGAACCTGCACATAGAATCACTGAATAGGGTGGCTATAAGAGGAGGAAAGAAATTCCCACCCACCAAGTTGGAAGGGGTAAAAATAAATCCCCTCTAAACTTTTTTAGTTTATAGATTTTCTGAAACCTGCAACCATCTGTAAAGAGCTAATTCTAACAATTCAAATAGACTCTGAAGTAAAGTCATAATCATATAAAGAAATAAACCTTTTTTTTACATATTCTATATTAAATTAACTAATAAATTGTAGAGGGAGAACCAAATAAAGTATAGGAACTCTCGTTCAGTTAAAAATAGTTAAAAATAGGAGAAACCAAGATGGCGACATAGGTAAACACTGGAGATTGCTGCCTCGCACAACCTCTTCAAAAATACAACTAAAAGATGGAACGGACATCACCCAGAACCACAGGAAGGCTGGCTGAGGGGAAATTCCACAACAAGAAGGAAAGAGAAAAGCATACTGAGACTCAGAGGAGGCGCGGTGCTGAAGTAAAATACAAAGGTGCGGGGAGGTGCGTGCGGAGCGGGCTGGCAGCTGAGGGCGCGGTTGTCGTTTTCAATCGGGAGGGAGTCTCAGGCTCTGGGCTCCAGTTCCGGGCGAGTCTCTGGGGACCCTGACTCAAACGGGAGAAACGGGACTGTCTGGCATCGGTCGGAACTCGAGGGCAGCTTTCTCTCCGAGGTACTTGCAGCGGTTGCTGGGACACTGAGAGGCAGAGCCTCTGGGGACGGGACTGAGAGCAGCCATAACTGCTAGCTAGGCCTGCCCTGTTGATCCCCTGGGACCCGCCCCACCCAAGCCTTGCAGGGAGGCATTTGCTGGTTAGCCTCAGGCAGAGGCTAGATTAGTGTCACCCTAGAGATCCAGCACAGAAGTTCTCCCACTGCAGACACAGCTGATTCTCACAGCCAATTGGCCTGGAGGTCAAATCCCTCCCAGTGTTATCTACAACAATCAAGGCTTAGCTACAACAAGACTGCGCACAAAGACCACTAGGGGGTGCACCAAGAGTGTCTACCTCAGGTAATTGGGACACTTAGCACAGAAAGCCACTCTATCGACACAGCGAAGCATAAAAAATGCCGAGACAAAGAAACAGGACACAAATGACAGAAATGGAGGAAAGCAGGCTGCTGGATATAGAATTCAAAACCACACTTTTGAGGTCTTTCAAGAGTCTTCTAGAGACTGCCGATAAACTTAATGAGATGTACAAGAAATCTAATGAGACCCGCGATGTTGTGATAAAGGACCAACTAGAAATTAAGCATACACTGACTGAAATAAAGAACATTATACAGACTCCCAACAGCAGACCAGAGGATCGCAAGATTCAAGTCAAAGATTTGAAATACGAAGAAGCAAAAAACACCCAACCGGAAAAGCAAAATGAAAAAAGAATCCGAAAATACGAAGATAGTGTAAGGAGCCTCTGGGACAGCTTCAAGCGTACCAACATCCAAATTATAGGGGTGCCAGAAGAAGTGAGAGAGCAAGATATTGAAAACCTATTTGAAGAAATAATGACAGAAAACTTCCCCTACCTGGTGAAAGAAATAGACTTACAAGTCCAGGAAGCACAGAGAACCCCAAACAAAAGGAATACAAAGAGGACCACACCAAGACACATCATAATTAAAATGCCAAGAGCAAAAGACAAAGAGAGAATCTTAAAAGCAGCAAGAGAAAGAAACTCAGTTACCTACAAGGGAATACCCATATGACTGTCAGCTGATTTCTCAACAGAAACTTTGCAAGCCAGAAGGGAGTGGCAAGAAATATTCAAAGTGATGAATACCAAGAACCTACAACCAAGATTACTTTAGCCAGCAAAGCTATCATGTAGAATTGAAGGTCAGATAAAGAGCTTCACAGATAAGGAAAAGCTAAAGGAGTTCATCACCACCAAACCAGTATTATATGAAATGCTGAAAGGTATCCTTTAAGAAGAGGAAGAAGAAGAAAAAGGTAAAGATACAAATTATGAACAACAAATACGCATCTATCAACAAGTGAATCTAAGAATCAAGTGAATAAATAATCTGATGAACAGAATGAAGTGGTGATTATAATAGAATCAGGGACATAGAAAGGGAATGGACTGACTATTCTTGGGGGGGGAAGCGGAGTGGGGGATGGGGGAAGAGACTGGACGAAAATTGTGCACCTATGGATGAGGACAGTGGGTGGGAAGTGAGGGTGGAGGGTGGGGTGGGAACTGGGAGGAGAGGAGTTATGGGGGGAAAAAAGAGGAACAAATGTAATAATCTGAACAATAAATATTTAATTAAAAAAACACAAAAAAAATAGGAGCGTATCATTAAAATTCCTTTTAAAAATGGAAAGTAATTGCTTTTTAAAGGTATAATAATTTTAAGTGTTATAATCACAAGATATAAACAGATACTCTACTGCAAAACAACTATAATAATATCCCAGAATGTATTCAAATTATTTTAGTTTTTCTTGGGCTGCCTACACTAAATATCAGAGGTATTTTTGTAGTTGAATTCCACTATTGTGATGAAAAATAGTATTTTGGGGTCTGCTTTTGCTTACTTGAGAAAATGAAATCTTTGGATCATAGGAATGAGAGAAAGGCAGTGAGATTTAAGGAAAAAGCACTTTTTAGCTTTAAAAAGGAAAAGTCTTTTTTAAAACTTGACTGTAATGTTAGTGAATTTTTAATGTCAAGGAACATCATTTTGGGGAGACTGAAGATACCAAAAAGACATTTTAAAAAAATTTGATATTTAAAAATTTAAATCAATATCAAATATAGCATATATTAGCACAAAGTAATGCAGTGTTTTGCATTTTCCTTTTATAAAGAGTTTAACTATCATTTTTTCTTTAAAAGGTGGAGAAAGTGAATCGTAATATCTAGCATTTGGACAGTGTTTTCCACATGTATAATATGAAGTCATCATTAGTACTATTGCCAAATAGTTTGGGTTTGCTCTCCTTCCTGGGATGTCAGAAAATGGTATCCCCTGGTTCCCTTTTATTTGTATGAGGCCATGCAAACAGTTCTGGCCAATGGTTTGTGAGCAAAAGTTTCTACTTCAGACCCTCAAATCTATCTTTTCCTTCCAGCATGAAGATTGGCAATGTTCAAGACGAGGGCTGCCTGGAACCCTGAGTGATTCTAAGAGCAAAGCCTTTGCTGACCTGCAAAGGACATAAAGCACAAGTAAATAAATCCTCACTAACTCAAACCACTAAAATTCTGTGATTATCTGTTACTCCAGCATCACTTAGTCTCATCTTACTTATGCACTATGCACTATATTTCCTATTTCACAGATGGAAATTACACTCTGTCTATATCTACGTTAGTATCAGAAATTTGTAAAAATGAATAGAGAGTAGATAAGAATCAAAGCAAGAAAAGTCTGACAGGGACTTTTTCTCTCTTCATGAATGTGAATTTCACAAAAAATGTTCCTTAAATGCAGAGAATTCATTCAATTTGTAGTTGACAAAAAAAAAAGGGTTGCATTCAGAAACCTATTTTTATTATATTACTAATTACTAGTATTAGTGGTAATAATAATAGCTACCCTGAATTCAGTGTGAATATATCCTGAGTCCTGTATTAGGTGCTTAATTTATATAACCTCATTTTATTTCACTTAATCCTCACGGTGATCCTAAGAGGTAGCTATTATTTAAACAGATCTATCCTCAAACCAGCTTTCTTCCCATTACTACAATGGTGTTTTATGGTTTGCAAAGTACAAAATCATATTCATCTTTGCAGCAGCAACTATTCGGCTGATAGTCTTTCATTTTACAGAAGAGAAAATAGGTCTTCAGAGAAGTTTTTAAAATCTGTGTAAGGTTATATAGGTGGTAACCGAACCAGGTCCTTGGAAAACAAATCTCATGTGGTTCTGTGTTACACTTGGCAGAGTAATAAACATAATGCAAAGAGATAGACATATTTTTCACCTTTCCTTAATGCTTTTCTTCAGGATTCTGATTTACATAGGTGATTTTTCACTTTTGGAGAGAAATCGCCTAAATCTTGGAATGTTTTAACTCTAGGTGATTAATAGTTAGCAGTTTGGTCAAGCCAGTTAAAAATTAAAGCAGGGATCAATTAGAAGTCATTGTTTCCAGGTTTATAAATTGCTTTGCAAAGGCAGTCTGGTGAGAGTTCTGAATGGACTGTCATGTGTTCGATTAAGTGGTCTAATGAAAGGCCTCGGAAGCTTGCAGAACAGAGCTTTATTTTCAAACAAACAAACTCAGTTGCATTTAGCCTGGTTGGACTAGATCCCCTTTGAAAATCATGGCTATGAAGAAAGGAGCCAGGAGTCAAGCACCCTTAGTGTCAATCTGAAAAGGCCCATTCAATTGTTTTTTTGAGTCCATCAACTTTCTTTTTTTTCCATAGTGAAAAAATGGGTGGATTTCTATTAGGAGAATCTCCAAGGAAAACTGAAAAGCACCTATTCTCTCTCTCTCTCTCTCTCTCTCTCTCTCTCTCTCTCTCTTTCTTCTTCTTCTTCTTCAAAAATCTATTGGCATAACAATGTACATCATAATCTTTTTGTTTTCATAATCACATTAGAGAAAACTTTTATTTTAGTGTTTTACTTTTCATTCTTCAAATATACATACAAATATGTATGCCATATTATGAATACACACATATTATTTTCAAATAATTTTTATACAAAGGATATTACATTATTGGTAACCTGCTTTAAAAGAACTCCCAAAATTAACAGTATATTCTGAACATCTGCCCATGTCATTAACCATTTATTTACATATGATTTTTAACACATACATATCTACAGATGATTTTCAACACATTACATTGTATGGATTCATGATTTATTATATTAATCCCTATGTTTATACATCTCTATTAGTTCCAACTTTTTAAAAAATATATTTTTATCTGTTTCAGAGAGAAAGATAGAAACATCAATGATGAGACAGGACCATTGATCAGCTGCCTCCAGCATGACCCCTACTGGGAACTGAGCCTGCAACCCAGGCATGTGCCCTGACCAGGGATTGAACTGTGACCTCTGGTCACTCAATCACTGAGCCATGCCAGCTAGGCAAGTCTCTCTAATTTTAATCATAATTTTTTAAGCTTTAAAAATTTCCAAAAGGACACATGGCTCTAAATTTGTTTCAATTCAGGCACCTTCAACAACCTCCTGTGGGAATGTTTAGAATGGCCTCAAAGTCTTAGCCTATCTCATAGTATCCTAATTTGATACCCTGGAGTAGTCCATATTACTCTAGCTAAGTATGACACATTTGAAAACAAATTTTCTGTAGAACATTCCACAAACTGTTCTCAGTCCTACCCACCGTATTAGTACACACACACACACACACACACACACACACACACACACACGGAGGGAGGTGTACAAGTCTCTGTCAAGCATGTTTGATCACTATTAAGCCTCCTTATGCTTGTATAAGGCAATTGCCATTTGAGCCTCCAAATGATCAGATGATATAGATGGAACTGATTTCCCTAATACAATACAAAAAGCATAATGTATAGCTACCTAGCTATGTATGAGTATTAAGAGAGAGAGAGAGAGAGAGAGAGAGAGAGAGAGAGAGAGAGAGAGAGACCTGATGGGACAGGGGGTTTTAAAGGGGGGTGGAGTGAGGGCAGGAGAGGGGACTGTGGGCCCCCGCCGATTGGCCAGGCGCGAGTGGGTACAGGATGTGGTCACAGTGATGGCGTGCACTTCCCTTGATTATTATTGGTTAGTCCAGAGAAATCCTGGGTGTGGCTAGCAGCGGCTTCTTCCCGTGAGGAAGCACATGGCACCGTCCCAAAATGGAGGACCCAAGGCAAGATGGAGGGCGCACGTGGCTCTGTCCCAAGATGGAGGACCCAAGGCAAGATGGAGGGCGCACATGGCTCTGTCCCAAGATGGAGAACCCAAGGCAAGATGGAGGGCACAGTCCTTGTCCGGCTCCTGCCGCTGCCGCTCCAACTCGCCACAAGGCAGGATGGCCCCCCCACACACAGCACCCGCAGGTGGCCTGCGGGCAGACTGGGACTCCAGCCCGTCTGGGCGGCACAGGCCCAGAAAACGGGGTGCGGTCGGTGGAGTGGCCATCCGCTCGGAGCAGGCCCGGCCATGGGGCCGGTGCACTGCAGCATGGCGGCCTCCCCGAGCTAGGGCACGCGCCCCACTCCGCTGCCGCCGCTGCTGCACTGGGCCCGGTCCGGGGGGCAGCGGGCGGGTGGTAGCCCGCCGGGCTCCCGCCGTGGGCCGGGGAGCCAATGCACCCCCATGGGGCCCGGCGGTCGGCCCATGCAGGCCCCGGTCCCCCCCACCGGGCCCGAGGGCAGCATGGACCCCCGGCCCCAGCGCGGGCAAGCGGGGAGCCGACCACGGGGGGAAGGGAGGAAAGAGCCAGGCGGTGAGGCCTTCCGCTCCCATGACCTCCCCCGCGGTCGGTCGCCTCCCGGCCCCACCCCTCGGCCCGCCGCCGGCCACCACGCAGCCGGTCCGGACACTCGGACCCGCTCCGGGGAGGCAAGGCCCTACGGCGGGCACGGAGGGATTTCAGAGCCCAGCGGCCAGACTCCTCCTCCCGCACCGCCCTCACAGGCGGGCTGCGCGCCTTTCAGTGGCCAGCCAATCCATCTTGGTTGAGCATATCTTCCTAATCTGAAAAATGCGTGGATTTGTGGAGATGTATCCCTCAGCCCGTTTCTTTCTTTTTCCCAGCCCCTCTTTCTAACGCTCTTTGCATTGCATTGTGCAAATGCATTGTGAAGTCTAGGAAAAAACTCGGACCACATTCAGGACAGGTGACTAACGTGACCACACACTGGGCCACTCTCAAGAGAGACCTGAACCAGCTCTGGGTAGACAAGAGGGAAAAGAGCGAGGTTAACAAGGGAGGCCAGTGCTGACTCTCCAGTCAACCCCTCAGGGCCAATCAGAAACTCACCCGGCGCGGATGGGTGGGGCTGGAGGCCCGCGCTGACGACACAAGGCTACTTCCGGCTGTGGTGCGTGTGACGTCAGGGCCGAGTCGGAACAGCCTGGCCACCCAGACGCCGAGGAGGGAGGGCTCGCGAGAGTTCAGGGAGGCCGCTTCGCGATTTCGGCGCGGCCGCCAGGCCCACCTCCCGGGGGCGGGGCGAGGGCGGAGCTGGCGGGGGGGAGCGGACGGGCGCGGGGCCGGCCGAGGTCCGCGCGGAGGCTGAGCCGGCCGCTGGCGCGACCGGACGCAGGTGAGTGTGCGGCTGCCGGGGCTGCGAGGGGGGCCGGGCCGCCGCACCTGCCCTTCCTCCGCGCGCAGCAGGGAGGGATCTTGGGGGGTGTCTTAGGGGATCCAGGGAAAGCCGGGTGAATGTCGGGGCTGGCAGTGTCTCCGGTGAAGCTCTAGCGACGGCCTTGGCCCTCTTGATCCCCGGGGTGATCCCGGCCCCGCGTGTCCGGAGAGGCAGCCTCGAGCGTGGGAAGGCATCTTTGTCCTTCCCGGCTCCTCTCACCCTCCCGCTCCTCGGCCCGCGAGCGCCCGGCTCCCGGTGCTGCCTGGGCTTCGTAAACAATAACAATCGTGGTGGCTCCTCTCGGGCTGCCCCCCGCTCGCCCGACTGGTGCCCCCCGGCCGGTGTCCCCGAGGGGAGGGGTTCTAGGCGCGGCTCCTAGCTCGTGGGGGCATTTGGGTACCATTCCTAAAAACTGATGCGTCAGATGGCTCAACACGCCTCGCACCCGGCAAAGTCGCCCGCTCCCAGGGGCACGGGGCGCGCGGCCGGGCTCAGGAGCCGTCCCCACCGCCGGCCCCGCGGACACTCCTTCCCACGTCATTTTCTCCCTTTTGGCACCTTTGCCGTCGCGGACCCGGACGGACGAGGGGTTGTTTGGTTATGCGCATCCAAAAGGCTGTCCCCCGTGGAGGAGGAGACGTTTCACCTTTAGAAAGTTGTCAGGTTGACAGCCAAAGAGCAAAGTTTATTTTCCCCAAAACCAGGAGCCTCCCGTTTACTGCTGCTACTTTTGTGGGTCGTTTTTCGGGGTATAGTTTAGGGGAGAGAGATAAAAAGAAATGGGGCGGGGGGCGTGGAGCTGGTGGTGCTGCTGGAAGTCGTGGTGGCTTGTCCAAAAGTGGCTTATCTGTTCTTCACGAGATAAAATGCAGAACCAACGCTCTTGTCTATTTCACATGAACTTTTGATAAGTTTTGGGAGGAGGCAGTTGCTCAGGAAAGTCCTGAGTTTTAGCTTTTTTACGGCTAACATCCGAGGAAACAATGTGGTTTTTTTTTAATGGATGACTCCTGGTTGTAAGATGGGGATTGGCCAGGGAGACCTGTCTTTCGGAGGCTTACACTTGCCAGGTCTCCCTACCTGAAGGCAGGGTCTATGATTTAAAGCCATTGTATGTATCCAGTGAAGGTCTTTGAAGGTTCCTTGTCTCCATCGTATATGTATGGATATGTGAGACACTGGGAACCTCTTTGTGTTTGATTTGCTTTTCTTTATGTACCTCAGGATACATAAAACAATCAAGTTTATTTTACTCTCTACCCAGTAGCCTGGAGGTATTGTATGTGAATTAGCCAGTCCTGTGACTATTTGAGGGGAGGGAAGTTAGTTTAAAATGTTATTAAATTATGATGACATTTGTCATTGCGGAGGTTCAAAGTACTTTCATGTGAAAAATTCTGATCTGAAAAGAAGTACAATGAATAGAAAATGTTTGGTTTGATCTGTCTTAGCTTTGCACTTTCCATTCCTCTTATTAAGATGGCTGATAATGTTTCCCCTTGGTTGGGATGTGTTTAGAATGAGAAACAAATAGGGTGTACTTTTGGTATTCCTTTGAAAAGCGCTGCCACTGGGGAATGAAAAAATTAGAAAAACCATGTTAAATGAGTGCTGTGATTCTTTAGCCTTTTGGTTTTGCATTTGTTTTAAAGTTGAGAGTCAAATTAAAAGAATCAAGACGAGGGATATTTGTGCAGGTAAACAGGTGTCCTCAGCAGTTTTTATGCTGAAAAATTAATTTCAAAAGGAAAAATTCTACTTTGTTGAAATTGGTAACAAAGCACTGGGTTCGGTTCTGCCATTTGTTTTCAGAAAAGTTCTCTTCTCTCTAAGTAAGAGCAACACCTCATTGTGTTACCAAAGTTGGATACTTTAGAAGGTGCTTTCTCAGGTAATCCTAGATAAATTGAAGGCGTGTGTGTCGTGTGTGTGTGTGTGTGTGTAAATGGCACATTGTTAAGAGGGAAAAGGGAGCAGAAATCAAAGCTAGAAAGATGTGCATCTTGAAGTCAAGTTTAAATTATTTTATTTTACATAAACAGTGTAGGGTGAATCAAGCAAGCATATTGTCACCCAGCATCCCATGATTACATTCAAATCAGCAGATGGGCAAGTTATGATTAGATTAGACATGACATATGCAGAAATTATGCTACTGTATTTTTATATTAAAAGCATCATGGGCTTTTTGAATGAGATAATGAAAGTAAGCTTTTAAAGCATAAGAAATTTTTAAAAATAAATTAATTTTAAAAGATATTATTGACCAGTAGTTTAAAAATATTAAGTGAATCCTTCTTTCCTCCTTTCCACCTCCTCCCAAGTTTTTAAGTCTTAAGAGAATATTTATCAAAGTATGATTAGTATTTAAGTGCACTGGTTATATAAAGCTCCTGTCTCCAGGTAAAGGTTTGCTGACTAGCAGGATATTATTATTCAGAACCTTTAGAGAGAGAAATGAAGGGCAACAATGAACAATATTTGCTGCCCATTGTACTCAGATGTGGTCTCTGTCTTCAAGGAGATATAATCTAATTGGAGGGAATTTTACCCAAAAAACTATGAAACACAATGCATATTGTGGAGAAGTCAAGGAGGGAGGAATTAAAATTCCACTAGGCCAATTAAGGAAGGCTCTGAGTAGGGCAAGGCATTTGTGTAGATGATTTGGATGATCGAGTCATATGATAATCATAATAAGCAAACACTTTAGGTAATTCTACTTGCTGATAAACCCTTGCATGCAGTAATTTACCTGGGTTTAAGCCATACAACAACAATATGAAGTAGATATTTTTATTATTCCCATTTTGCAGATGGGGTGACTGAAGTCAGATAACTAGAAAATGGTAGAACAAGCATTGCAACCCAGACATTCCAACTTATACCTGTACTAGAGGCCCAGTGCATGAAATTCACACACAGGTAGGGTCCCTTGGCCTGGCCAGCGATCAGGGCTGATCAGGGCCTTCCTTCCCCTCCCTGGCTGCTGGCTGCCAGCTGCCAGCTGCCAGCTGGGGCCTTCCTTTGTTCCGCACCACCCCCTGGTGGCCAGCACACGTCATAGCGAGCAGTCGAATTCCCAGTGGGTCAAACTCTCCAGGGGACAATTTGCATATTAACCTTTAATTATATAAGATCCCTGTGCTTAATCACTCTCCTTATTTTCTCTCCCATTCTTGATGATCTTTCTTAAGCAGTTTCAAATAATTGATTTGGGAAAATATATTTTTCTGGCACCTAAATTTAGGAATTAGTTTTCTAGACAGAGCTCCAAAATAATGTAAACCCAGAAAATAAATTGTTTTTGGCATGTTAGATATTTATTCAATTTTTTGGAAGTTGCTCTTTGTGCAATTTAAAGGTAACCATTGAGTGGGACTTATGATACATTTGACTTCGTACTTAGTAGCATACATATAAGGATTTAGAAACAAGAAGTTATAATTGTATTAACTCCATTGCCTAATGGAATTTCTGAATCATATAATTTGTCTTGTAACTTTAAAAAATCACTTGGCTCTGGGTATTTTTTGGATTGAATTGTGAAGTTGGAATTTATTTAACGATCGAATGCCAGTCTAACCCTTTTAGTTTTTATTTCCACAAACAGCTAAATTTATAATGCCTGAATCAGGATTTTGAACAGAGTGTTATACATGTATAAAATGAGAGACATTCAGTCACTGATACTTTATTTTAAGGCAACTTTGAAAGCTTTTTTGGGATTGTGAAACAAAAGGTGCTTTAGAAATACACTGTGCCTAGCATAGGCCTGCTCAGTAAATACTGCTTTGTTGAATGAATAGTCCAATTGATTTTATTTATGAAATTTCAGGAATAGTTCACATTTGTTATTGGTTATCTAAGTATTGGCATCACAATAAACTCAAAGTGGATTTAAAGATTAGGAAAAAAAATATATCTAGGCAGTGGTAGGGGTACTGCCTGTCCTTCCCTATCCAGCAAGATGCAGACCCTTCAACTCCTTTGTCAGTGCCCTGAGTGACTCAGTTTTAAGAACTCCAGAGGCACAGTCTCTGTGAATGAATATAAAAACTGCTCTCTCCTTGTCTGAATGGGGTAGTTCTAGTAAACTCCCACAGCAGGATAATTTATGGTTGATGAGCTCAAAACCTACTGGGAAAAGTAGCAGAACTAAAGTCAGGATATAAAGCTCATATATTTATGTTACTATTATAAGGTAAAAGTGGCAAAACAAAATTTTTAAAAAGATTTTTTTAATAAAAGTTTAAGTTAATAGGTGATAGTATATTATTTTCGTTGACCAACCCCCTGTTGACAAAATTTTCAGGATCTAAGCTGGTAATTTCAAGTTTACAAGTCAACTGTAGTTTGTTATAACAAAGTTATGTGTTCCTGTAAGTACAGGTTTGGTTTTGAACGTTATTCTTAGTAAAATAAAACAAAAAACAAAAAACCACACCAGACATACTCTCACCTTTTCACTGATAGAAAATTTGGGGGCATCCTTTCCCATAATAGACTAGTTTTGTCTACATTGAAAATCCACTGAGACAGGTAGCCCCCCTCATAGATAGTCTCTGCACAAGTCTTAGGGAAGACCTTAGCAGTTACATGTCATGTAGTGAACTGACCATTCACATTGGTGGTGTGTAAATATTGGTGATAGTAGCACCTGTATTATGCTCAGCTTTTAAATTCTTAAATAAGCTTCTTGCTATCCCCTGAATTAACATTAGACCAGTTGACAACCCGAAATGATATTGATTCTCTGGTCACACATGCAGAAGGTTTCCTGTTTTCCTTGTCTTCTGCTGAATCTTATTGATTCCACCGGTATGGATTTTTCATGTTACAGTATATAAGACTCTGATCTCATATGCACAGGCAGTATTCACTGTTTTCTTACCTTTTACATTTATTTGCTCTCTCTACCTCTGATTCAGGAGAGGATTCTATTCTTTCTAATTTTGGAACACTTTTACTGCTTTTGCTGTTACTTAATATGGTGGAGTTAATAATGTTTAATACCTCAAA